GTCTCTATGGATTCGTTTCAAAAATGAAGATGAACGTTATAGTCTCGAAAATATTGTTTCAAAAGATCAAGTTTGTAAAACTAGTCTTTGTTAGTATGAAAATCATACTAAAGAAGTTTAGTAGTTGCACTGTAATTTTCAGAGAATCTTATAGCTGTCGACAGATAAGATTTATTTAAAACCCAACACCTTATCTGTCAGTTGCAATTGTCAGAAGAAAACAGTAAAAATATTTATCGCTTTGTAAGACTTTCTATTTAAATAGCGAGTCATTCATCATAATCGTATGCCTTATAAACTTTTGAAAAATTAAGTTTATCAACAAATAGATGGATGTTTCAGAGCCTTCGCAAGGTAATAAATTTCTCCAGCCGATCAAAACCATATGTGTTCTTGGTGGTTCTAGACTGGTAAGTTTTTCTCAAAATGTTGATATTGTGAGTCAGTTAGTAAGGGATATGGGAAATCAAAAAATCACTTTACTGTATGGAGGGACTAGCATCACTTTCTTTGATAATCTTTTATTGGCCGGAAAATGTTTTGAGATAGAAGTGAAAAGTATCATACCTTTTCATAGAGCTTCAACAAGGGTCGTCAAGGATTCCATATGCATGCTGCTAACTCATTCTATTCATGATTGTATAATGGATATGGCGAACAAGAGCGATGCATTTATCATTCTTCCAGGCGGTTATGGAATGCTAATTACAATGTTCATCCTTGCTTCTTGGGCAGAATTGAAACTTCATAACAAGCCCATAGGTCTATTGAATTTTAATAACTTTTTTTCTGGTTTGCTTGGATTTTTAGACCAAGGAGTATATCAAACCTTTATATCTCCTACAACAAGAGAAGTGTTCAAATTTGCAGATACGTCTGGTGAGCTTATCAAAAAGCTCCAAGAATGCATCACATTTCAAGATTATGTGGAAACACAAGGGGTCAAAAGAAAAAGAGCGTTTGATCCTTTAGATCTCTCATTATGAACCCAGATAACAATAATGGGTGGCAGAGTTACGGAGTTTTATACTCTCGAGACGCACCCTTCTTTTATGGGTTCTATTATGTAATTTTTCGTATTTCGTACTTATCGAGTATGTACTGCCTCTTCTCCATATTTCCACCATATGAACTTTCCGTACTTATTTATCATTAATAATAATATCAATTTCGCTTTTCTATAAGAAGTGTGTAGTGCTTTATGACTATAATTATTGTCATGTGTGCTTCTTCTGGAGCACATCATTGTAATATTTATATGATCTCATATTATCAATGTGATCTTGTCATCAGATATCTTTCCTTATAATCATACAATATATTGAGAAATCATTTCGTGTGATATCATCCATGACTGGTAGCTTTTGATACCACTTTCTCAAATTGTTCAATTTTCTAGTGATAGCTTCTGGTACCATTTTATCACTTTGCTTAATCATAATTTCAGTACCACTATACCACGATATCATTTAATCATTATGTAGAAACTTCTTGTACTACTTCAATTTCCGTTTCTCTATTAATAATTTGGAGAATTTATCAACTGATTCTTCAGGATCAGATCAGTCCATATAATGTCCATTCACGACAAGGACTTTAATTAACGTTCACATGACCAGATATAAAGTATCATTAATTTTACTCATCGGCTATCACTTATTAGTATTGTCTGTTGCCGGCGGCAGAGCCGCACTGGCTGGCCCACGTATATATAGCCATTCATATCCTTTTATATGTATATTTGTTGCACATGGCTTTATCATCTGGCCATACCATATCACCGGTTATTATACTTATCAGTGGGCCATCACCGGTCATCACTATTCAGTACACTTATCATCTGGCCATCATCGGTCATCATTATTCAATACACTAACCGGTTCACTTTATCATTCAAATCTTTTCGGTGGATATACTGCTTGGCCATTTCACATGATTTTTCGTATTTCAACAGTTGACTCGTCGGCTACCATTAAATATCACCTGCCGGCGGCAGAGCCGCACTGGCCGATCCTCGTAGCCACACATATTTATTTTCATATCACATGGGTCAAACCATAGATATCCATATGTCCATGTAAATAATTTTTGCAATAACAAATTTCAAGCTTATTATAATCATATAATATAATAAACCATATCAATATTGGACTTAAATTAAAGCTCTCATTAAATTGGTTTATATGGGATTTAGAAGAAATAAATTTTAGTAATAAAGTTTTCTTTTATTTTATGAAAACTAATATGAAGGTTAAATGAATTTGTTAACAACTTTTCTTATCTTTTCCTTCTTTGTGATTTTTGTACACTTCCAAATGTGCATTAATTGATCACAATAATTTTTATTTATTTTTTCTCTCCTTATCTTTTTCTGTCTTGAATTTCACACCACTCTCCTTCCAAATAATTCACCAGTCACCTACACCTCCCATTCCTCATTGTCTTTATCCTTTCTCCAAAACCAAAGTCATCCTTTCTTCATTTTTCTA